GGCATGTGAATTGTTCGGATCCTCATATGATTGTGTACTTGGTTATTTGATTCATTTATTGGATTTTAGGGTTGGGTCTTCCTTTTAAGCTTGTTGGGCATCGTACCTTTGGCCGAGCGATTAGGATATGTAACAGAGTAAGATTTCTTGCATTCTCTTTGTATTTTCTTTATTTGCAAACATAAAAGTTTATGAGTTTCTTGTTGAGCTCAACAGCGCCTGGGAGTGGCCATGTGGGTTCTGATTATAGGTCCCAAAATCTATGTTCACAAATGAATCCAACAGCCATGTCTGAATAAATATCTAGTTAACTTGATGTATTTGAGAACCTACATTTATTTTGGAGCGATTTAGGATTTAATCCACGTGCACGTGAGCCGGCCATCCATACTAACTTTGCAATTAATGTGCATTATTGATTACCTAATATAGCTTGGCTTCTTTGATGCAGGCAGCTGGCTTGCTATACTGGACCAACAGGTACGTGTGTAGCTAATACAAGTATCATTCTTTTCTTTTCGACCATTAATAAGGACCAAATTTTGAAGCTATTGTACTAGCTTTACATTTAGCAGCCATTCCGTCGATCTAAAAATTTTATGCCATGACTCAAATTATGTCTTAAATTTTGCAGTTGGAGGGCTTTTAAATGCCACCTTTGGAAATGCAACAGAACTGATAATATCAATTTATGCTCTGAGGCGTGGCATGATTCGTGTTGTTCAACAGTCTTTACTAGGCTCAATTCTGTCAAACATGTTGCTGGTGCTTGGATGTGCTTTCTTTGCTGGTGGACTTGTGTTTTCAAAGAGGGAACAAGTTTTCAACAAGGTATGTTTTCTTTCTTCATCACTAATGCTTGGTTAGTATAAAAAAAGAGAACCGTGTCTGTCTTCTACCATTCGTATTTTTTTTTCTTAAAGCTCAAACTTCCTATATTCTCAGGCAACTGCTGCAGTGAGCTCTGGATTGCTATTGATGGCGGTCATGGGTCTGCTCTTTCCAGCTGTACTGCACTCTACTCGCACAGAGTTGCACTTCGGGAAATCTGAATTAGCCCTTTCAAGATTTACCAGCTGCATTATGCTTGTAGCATATGCTTCCTATCTGTTCTTTCAGTTGAAGAGCCAGCAGAATTTATATGTTCCAGTTGATCAGGTTGGTAGCAAAAGAATTTACCAATGAGGACCTCATACCAAAAGAATTTATTTAATACTTTCTTTCTGGTCTTCTCCAATGAGGACCTCATACCATGTTACTAATTCCTACCCTCTCACTGTTCTGGTGTCTGATGAAATTGAATATGGAGAAAGCCTAACCACTCAAAATTCTTTAAATTCATTTTTTTCTCAATGCAAATGTTCTACATATGTATTGTTTTGGGGAACAATTATTCTTCTGGTTTGATTTGTTTGCGAACAAGTTTTAACTCATTATTTAATGAATCATACCATGTAAAAATGAATATTTTATTGGCTGAAGACAGAAATCAAATAAGTGAAGTTTGGTTGTCATGCTCACTTAAAAGGAAAGTAAGCACTGAAATACAAAAAATGCCTGTTATGTTCTCTCTCTCTCTCTCTCTCTCTCTCTCTGAAACAGTTTGTGTAGAATCTCCATTATGTGATCTGATTGTGTATACTTGGCATAAAACCAGGCAGAGAATCACGCTGAAGAAATTTCAGATGGTGAAGAGGAACCTGAGATCTCTAAGTGGGAATCCATAATATGGCTATCTATTCTAACTGCGTGGATTTCAGTCCTCTCAGAATATTTAGTTAATGCGATAGAGGTAATACCTTCTGCAAATTATCTTATTATCCTAAGTTTTTATATTATTTATCTCCCCTTCAGGGTGTATGACAACTCTGATTTTGGATGATTTGTAATTTTCATAACTGTTCATATGGTTTTTTCAGTGACGAATTTCTTATGTAGTATCTATATATTTCCAAGTTATTCTTATGGTCTTATATTATATTAATGCTTGCAGGGTGCATCTGTTGCAATGAACATTCCGGTTGCATTTATTAGTGTTATTCTGCTGCCAATCGTTGGGAACGCAGCAGAGCATGCAGGTGCTGTTATGTTTGCCATGAAAGATAAGCTTGTAAGTGGTTGTCCTGTTGGTGCCATAATACAATCATGCACGACTTGTCATTATATTCTTGTTGAATTTTTCTCAATGTCTCATGCAGGATATAACTTTGGGAGTGGCGATAGGCTCATCAACCCAGATATCTATGTTTGGAGTGAGTACCAAATATCATATGGATCTAGACTGACATTTATCGTTAAAAAACTTGTACATGTGTGGTTCTTAATCCTGATACTATGATTGAGTCTGTGCAGTATGTAAATGCAGCTATCTGTTGTGGATTTTTTTCATGTTTTCAAATATATATATTGCTTATTGTTTTTTCGTAACAATTATAGCTGGAACATAAATGTTCTGGAAGAATTTATTGCTCTTTTTTACTTCATTTTGTGGTTATTACTTTTTTAAATCCTCTATTGTTGTTTCTATTGCTGCAGATTCCATTTTGTGTGGTGGTTGGGTGGGTGATGGGGTGCCCTATGGACTTAGATTTCCAACTGTTTGAGACAGCCACACTTTTCATAACTGTTTTAGTAGTAGCCTTCATGCTACAGGTTCGTCATTTGAGTAAATTATCTTTTCTATTTTCATCGGTAATGGTTACTTGATTGCTTTTATAAGGGAAACTGTAGAATGTACCATGAGTTACTCCATGTTCTTTGAGTTGTGAATGGCAAGTTTGGAAAGCTTAGGGCCTGTTTGATAACCATTTCAATTTTAGTTTTTAGTTTTTATTTTTTGTTCTAGAGTACAGAGAAAAATGAGAGTGAGAATGGGAATGAGGATGAGATTGAGAGAGAGAATGAGAGGGGAGGATGGGAGGGAGGAATAACAAAAGTGAAAACAATTTCAAATAGATTTCAATTTTTGTTTTCACTTTTGTTACTCCTCCCTCCCATCCTCCCCTCTCACCTTCCCTCTCAATCTTATTTCCACTCTCATTCTCACTTCCATTCTCCCTCTTTATCCTCTATGAATAGCACAAAAAATGAGAACTAAAAACTAAAATTGAAATGGTTATCAAACGGGCCCTTAAATTTAACACTTGTATTTTAAAGTTGGTATAGTAAAGGTAAATATCAATAAGTTTTAAATAAATTTGCGAGATCCAATATACACTGCATTCAAACACGCACATGGAAGAAACATTGATTTGGGGTTTGTGGTGTCTCCTTTTGTTTGCAGTGATTATTTTTTTTCTGTATTTTTTGTTTACATGGATTTAATTTGAACTTGCAGGAGGGAACTTCTAATTACTTTAAAGGACTAATGCTCATTCTCTGCTACATTATTGTCGCGGCAAGCTTCTTTGTACATAGAGATCCTAAAGCAATACGTGAGTTATCGCCTCCTTTTCCCTCAAGTGGCCAGTGGATAATTTATCTAATTTCCATTAGATTCAGAGTTCTAAAAGTTTCGTCTCATTTTGTATGAAGGCTTTTGCTCCAATTATGTCGATGTGGAAATGCCATATCTTGATACATTTTTGCAGTGAATGCATCTTTATTTTATATTACTTCCATTTTGAAGGATTATTTTGCTGCTTGCACATTCAATATAATGGAGAACAGACTGAGTTCATTTCTTATCTGCAAAATTTCTCTCTGTCCAGTATGTTTCTTACTTATGACTTCATGCACATTTCTGCAGGGGATAAGCCCCAGAAACCAAAGCAGTAACTGAGTCAATGAAGTGAATCTAATACTCAAAGTCAATGTCATGTATTGAAGAAGTGGTTTTGCCGGTAGCTCCTGAAACCTTGACGATTATGAGTACTTCGTAGGTGGATCTTCTGAAGATGCTGGATAGATTTCCAAGTTGAAATACTCATGATAGCTAAGTGGATACGTTTCCATCCCACACCACATTGGAGCAGGGAAAAGATAGTTGTTTATAGGATATAGTTTAAATTGATGTTCAAAAAAATAGGAATGGTATGAGTCAAACTAAGATTTAGCAAATGATGTATTATTTTCCCAGATATAGTTCAATTATGTAATGTACAGTATCAATATGAAATTTTCAATGTTGGTTTACATGGATCTTAGTAGCCAATCATCCATTAATATTGGCTATTTGCCAGACATTAGACTTGTTCTTCATCTTCAGAGCTGTGAAGGTTGTTTATATTGGATTTTGAGGCTCTTCTTTAGGCTAATAATAGATTATGGAACTTCAAAATTTTGGTTTAAGCTTTGTGCTACTTTAAACTTCAGAAACAGTATCTCATTATCTCAATGGAGCCTAGGCAGTTAGCACAGTACAAAGAGAACATTTTTGCTCACCAGATTGGTGGTGAGCATTACCACCATATTAACGGTTGTTGGATGAGTTGAATTTTTTAGATTCATTTAGCATGTATGATTAAATCACACTTATTCAACGGCAGTTAATGTGGTGGTAAGGGTGGTGAACATTATCACCGTATTAATGTGACTATTGGATGAGTTGAATTTTTGAGATTGATGTGGCGGGTAGATTAAATCACACTCGTCCAACAACAATTAGTGCCGTAAAATGCTCACCACCATTGAGCAAAAATGTTCTCCAATACAAAGCTCAAGTAAAAGTTTCAATTTTTAATTTTTTGTTTGCCTAATTTTGCAAGGAACCACTCTAGTGGCTCAAGCTTTCATTATTGAGAAGAGAGTTTGCATTTGTTTGACCCACTGACAGTGGTGAACCACTGGAGAAGAGAACCATGAGCTCAAAGGACATTGAGATGGTATTATCTCAATAATACCCTTGCTGTTTCTGTAATACAGTAGGGTAAAAGCGACATTATCTATTTATCTTTATTCATGAACTGGTCCCAAAGTCTGTTGTCTTACTCGAAAATATTTGGCAAATTGCTACTTGGTCCTTTTGCAGTTGTTGAGGAAATTCTACCTTATCCTATTCCCTTTCTAATCTCCTGCGCTACAGACGCACCAAAACAAAAAAGGAAGAAAAAAAGGAAAGAAAAAAGGGGTTAAGATGGTTTGCTCAGTCCCAATTCTCAAACCCTAGAAGCTGTAAACTTGAAGAGGCTCAGAAGAGAGTGGCAGTGAAAGAGTGACTGAGTGACTATCGTTCTCTGTAATCTTCACTATTCAAAGTAGAGAGAAGAAGAGAAGGCTTTGGATTTACACTTCACATAGTTGTTCCAAAAACGTCGTTTTTTTTGTTGAAAGAGAAAAAACGTCGTTTGAAATCACTGTGCATTTATCACTGAAAACACTATGGTAAGTGTTGCCAATCAATCGAATCTCAGAAACCGAACGAAAATTTATTGATTTCAGTTTAATTCATTGTACAAGTTCACAGTTCACTGTGCTTGTGTTTGATTTGGACCTCTCAATTTTGTTCGGTTTTCGATAATCAGACGGGTCGGGGCGGAGGTGGAAGGGACCGGTTTCGGATGGAGCATCCGGAAAATCGAGGGGGTGGCGGCGGTCCCCGGCGTTTCGACTCCAAGAATGGCAAAGCTCCGCCGTCCAGACACCTCTGGGTTGGGAACCTCTCTCATAGTATCATGGAGAACGACCTCACTGAGCACTTTCTTCAGTTCGGGGAGCTCGAAAGCGTGGCCTTCCAGCCCGGCCGGAGTTACGCCTTTCTTAATTTCAAGAGGGAAGACGAAGCAATTGCCGCCATGGAGTCCCTCCAGGGTTTTCCTGTTGCAGGCAACCCGCTGAGGATCGAGTTTACCAAGGCGGTTAGTTATTTTTTTTTCAAGATGCTTTTTTTCTATCTTTGTTGTAAATATGCACTATGTAATGTATGTGTGGGTATTATAACTTGGTTATCTGAATTGAAGGCCATGGTAGCTGACTATTTCCATAATCTTTGAGTTTGAGCAAGAATGTATTGCATAGTTCACCAACTTATAATGTCAAATTAGCTAATTAAAATGCTCCATGACAGATGCAGAACGATTGATAACAGTACCACGTTCCACGAAATTCATTAATCCATAAGATTTTACAAGCCAGCATAATCACAAGGCTCACATGAAAGATTAATGTCCATAGTAACAAAAAAAGTTAGTACTATATTTTTAGTAGGGAGCACTTTTAAGACTGAATAGAGGGACATGTGCTTTCCTCTCATTCCGCGGTTTTCAGCATGATCATTCTACTAGCATTTCCACATACTTTCAGTAGTTTCAAGATTAGCTTTGAAGGTGAAACACGTGCAAGGGGAGGCAATCCAATCTCTCTTTTCTTGTTTCCTTTGCTTTCCAAATGTTTAATGAAAAACCTGTTGACTTAATGTAATAAGTGAATGAGAGTGTTCTGGGTTGCATGCCTATCTAAGAAGTGGTCAACCACAGGAAAATGCATTTCCCTTCTCTCATTGCATAAGAATAGTAGGAAACCATATACAAGTTGGACAAGCTGAGGTTTAACTGCAAAATCTATAGAATGGCGGGAATGTTTATGCCATGGCTAGCATGATATCATTCCATTACCATTCCGAACTTCCCATAAGTAATTTACTAAAGAAGGGCGAAGCACACCATTTTTTCGCTTGTCTCTATTCTTACTGTCATTCTTATTGTCTAATTGGAGTCACAATGCACTCTTTATCAACTGTGTTGGGGTTCAGAATTCTGTCCGGTAGTGGGATCTTGATTTGATGGTTTTCTCACTGCAAATCATAATTAGGCAGGGTTTGAGTGTTAAAATACTAAGTTTCAATGTGAATCCATTGACTCATGTGAACTTAACAGGTTTCATAGATTTCTTTCTTCCTAGTCCCAGCTTATCCATTCTGTATTCTTTCGCACACTGAATTCACAGTTGGGGAGGCATTTATACATACTGCGAGAGTTTCAATTGTAATAGGGAAATATTTTGCTAGTGTTTTCTTCCGAACTAAAATTTTTATGTATTACAGGTTGGAGAAACTCTAATGAACTTGTTATTTTTCCCATCATTGAGAAATTTGTCTAGATTATGGTTGCTAGCACTAGATCGCATGTAGGGAACAGTTTCAGGAATTAATCTGTTTGGAGTTCCATAGGGTAGACTGTGCTTATGGGAAGTTTGGGATTGTTTCTTATGACTGAAAGTAGTTGGACAGTCATATCAATAAATTTTTCATTGATAGAGCAAGGAACACCATACATTATTTGATATATGGAGACAGTTGGGCTTAAAATATGCATGTTTGACTTCACCGTTTGTTACTTGCTGTGTTGTCTGTTACTTGTCCTCTCTTGATCAAAAGCACTTTAGGTTTTACCTTGCAACTTAAAGAGTTTCTTGAAATCATAATGGATTTTTTAAAACATTTGTGGCCATAACTAGTGGAGAATAGTTCTGAATAATTGAAAAAAGATGTTGAATATGCCTCCTTAAGGTGCTTTCTCCTAGCCCTCTCCAACCCACCCAACCTAAGAACAAAACAGAGTAGGAAAAGGTGAGTGTGACAACTCATCAAAATCATTTAATTGGATCATCAATAATTCTATGAAGGAAACAAAATTTTGATTTGACGGGAATAACAGAATATGAAATTCTCACTGAAGAAAAGAAAAGGGTTCAGAAGCCTTTTATCAGATTAAAAGAAGCCCTCACCAGGTAAGAATCCAACCTGATCTCCATATCTTGGACTATAATAAAAGGAGACAATTTTGGCATAATGATTGTTGCATGGATGTTTAACACTACCAAGGGACCTTTTAACCATTAGAAATCCAATTGTATACATCTTTTATCACATCAAACTGATTCCATAAATAGCAAAAATTAGAACCCTATGAACAGCAAGCAACTCAGCATAAGTAGTCACCTCTTGTCACAAGAGCGAGAAGGAAATATTTAGATATGCAACCTCTCCCAGTATCTCGAATAACAATGTAACTGAATTCATAAGATAAAGGCAAATTAAGTCCCCAATACATGCAGCAAGACAGGGGAGGATTCAATGAAAACATGAAAGACCTGGGAGTGGATTCTTGTGCTCAATGCATTTGCTGAGTTTAACACCCACACCACACACCCCCCCAACCCCCACACCCTCACCCCAATTTTCTGTTTATTTAAGAATACAGTGGCCAGAAGATCCTATTGGCATGCTGTAGCTCAGATCATATGAGGAAGGAATCTTCTTGGAATAAGCACAAAGTCTTGCATGTGTTGGCTATTCAAATTCTGCAGCTGCTCAACAACCAAATGATTCATATGCATAATAATTTACTTTAGAAAGAAAAGAAAAAACCATGAGATGGCACAAGGCTCACAGTTACATATTATGTTTCACTTTCTTTTTAAGTGTGGTCCGTATGTTGGATCCAAATGCAGAAAAAGAAAAAAAAAAAACCATTACTGCAGATTGCATATGAACGACCAGAAATCTTAATGTAACTCAAACTTCCAACATTCAATCTGTTAAAATATGCAAATAGTCAGATCTTGTGGATGATGCATCCCAATCATTATTAATATTAGAATTTTTGCAATCTACATTGTTTGCACTCTTTTTTCCTTTCTCAATATTCAAAAAATAAATCTGTCATGAAAATCCAATCCACTATAATAATGCAACTGGATGCTTCATGCTTTAGAAACTGTATCCCTATTATCTTCATCTTTTGTTTGCGTCATGATGATGGTTTGAATGGAAATTTCAGGCTAGCATTAGAGCAAGTATTCTTTCATGTTCTAAAAGTTTATCTAAGAGGGTTAATGTGAGTTGAAAATAAGGTGTGTTCCATTTAGCACAGCAGTACATCTGGAGCAGTTAGAAATCTCATTTAAAGTTGGAACAACTGAGCACATTGCTTATCTCCTTCAGTTAAAAGAATGTGCTGAGGTGTTTGCCTGTGTTTACAATCTTTGCCTTGGGAGGCCCATGTACTATGGAGCTCTTTTTGGCTATCCTATTATTCTTCACTAAAAAAATCCAGGTCAACACTCTTAAATTCCTGAATGTCTTAATGCTGAAATACTTTAATTCCTGTGTACCATATGAGAAAGATGGCGCACTTAATCATGGAATAAAATTTACAAATCAAAAGTTATGTTTGTGGCTTCATCCTTTGTGATATGTTAGCCATTTGTAATACTGAAGATGTGGTTTCCTACTATATGCATGGTAAGAATAAGTATGTGCTCATTATGGGTCAAGTTGCAGTCGGCCAATTTGGGGACCATTTTTCGAAGCATGATTTGGATCTCTTGCTTTGGTTTCAAATATCAGAAGCTAATTTTGATATTAGTCGGAAAGGAGTCTGTCTTCTTGTTTATAATCATGGAAGGGTTTGCAATTTTTTTTTTCTTTCTATTTTAAGGATTGTGCTCCATTGGGAACAATTGGTGACCAATTATTTGCTTACTCTTTCTAGCAACCATTTCTAAAACGATGAGCTGGATCTCTTGATTCGGTTTCAATCTAATTTGATATTACCGGAAACAGGTCTATGATCTTCTTTAGAATCACTAGTTTACTAATGATTATGGTAAGGAGTTTTAGTGTCTTGGTTGGATTCTTTTTTTCCATCTTAAGGATTGTGCTTCTTTGGAAACAATTATTGAGTAAGTATTTGCTTACTCTTGCTTGCATGGTTTATAATGTTTTGAGTCATAAAAGGTGACGTGTAACCCCCAGGATGTGATATTTACTAATAGAATTCTTGTGCTAAGATATATATTTGCGACTCTGATTTGAATAATGAGACACATTGACACTTACCTTAGAAAGCTACATTCTTGGAGTTCAAAGCAGCATTTTCTCTGTTTTCTAATGCTCTAGTGGATCTTTTAGTGAGTGATCCATCAACCTTTGTTTGAACTTGTTTTGGTGTGCATGTGTGTCGACCTTCCAAATGATTTGCAAAATGAGGCTCTTTAATTTTTGCATATATCTATATATATAAAGGCGGAGATAGAACATGGAGTGCAAATTCAGTAAGTACACTTGAAGTAATAGTAGTTTAATAGCTTCATTTAAATGGGTTATGGAAGGACATGTGATGCATGAGGTGGTTGAATAGGATGTTCAGGATACCTCTGTTGTTGCTTTGAGTAATCTATATGAGAGTTGGAGAGTTGGTATTAAACTTGAATTTTCTTTCAATATCAACTAGCACCTACATATGACCAACAGGATGGGATTAATGATACAAAGTTAGAATCGATCTTTCTATATTCGTTCAGACATAAGTTCGTTCTGTGCTTTCTTTGATGAGATCTTTAATCACAGGATAAATCATCAGCACCATCGCGTGACGAAGATTACTCCCAACGTCGAGATGAACAACGTTCAGCTCTAAGAGGATCTCCTTTCTTGCAAAGGGAGTCTAGAGCACGTCAGGCTAGTCCTGAGCAATTTTATCAGGAAAAATCCAATATGAATGATAAGAATGCAGAGCCTAGTGCAGTTTTATGGATAGGGTTTCCAGCTTTATTGAAGGTGGATGAACTGATATTAAAGAAGGCTTTCTCACCATTTGGTGAGATTGAGAAGATCACGGCATTCCCTGGTCGTAGTTATGCTTTTGTTCGATTTAGGAGTGTAATGTCAGCATGCAGAGCGAAAGATGCTCTTCAGGGAAAATTATTTGGAAATCCCCGTGTACATATTTGCTTTGCAAAGAGTGAAACAGGTTCATCAAACAGTGGAAGGAATTTAATGAATGTCCCTCCATCACCACATTTTAAGGGGAATGACCGCTCAGGATCGCCTGAGAATTTTCGAGAGGAGAGCAAGTTTGGGAGCTTAACAGGGAATCCTAGCATCAGATCTCCTCAGTATTTCCCAGATTTGGATGCTGGTGATTCTGATCCCTATAGTTTAAATAAAAAAGGGAATTTATGGACAGGTGAAAACAATACGTTTGACCAGAGGTTTGGGGAAATGGGGTCCGAACTAGGACTATCGGAAGATACGTATGATCATCGGGGTAGTCCTAAAAGAGAGAAATATGCTCATTTACACAATTATTCTCAGAGATTTCCTCAGACAAGTCAACCATATGAAGAACCATGGGACTTGCCGGAAGATATTCATTTCCATCATGGGGCCAAGAAATTGAAGACAGAGTCTTTTCTTCCTGACAGAGAGCTTCCAGAGTATGCCCTATCTGACTTCGAACAAGAAAGACATGGTTTTCCTAGATCATACTCTGATTTTCCCCAATCTGACAGTTCTAAAAGAAACTTTGAGGCAGGGCCTTTTGGTTGCAAACAGATCCCAGAGCGACCAATGAATTTTGCTCTACCTCCAGGACAAAGGGGTGACCGCTGGAAAGAATCTTATGATAATTTTCAGGTGAACTCGGGTTCTCAGCTAGCAAATCCTGTTGATAGGAGAAGATTTACTCCTGAACCAGACCAGTCTTCTTTCAATGTGTGGAAATGGGAAGGGACTATAGCAAAGGGAGGAACTCCTGTCTGTCGTGCTCGCTGCTTTCCTGTGGGAAAAGTTCTTGACATGATTTTGTAAGTAGTAAATTTTTTTTTCCCTCAAATGAAATTTTCCGGTTACTTTCATGATTAGAGTAAACAGAATCAAGAACGTGAAAAAGGCTATATTTACCTAATGACTGTTTTCCATCTTTAACAACAGCTGATTGATATCACTTCTTGCTTGTTGCCTTGTCTATTAGTTACATGCCTGTTTTATTAAACCCAAAAATATGCATTAGTATTTTCTTTTTCTTTTTTTCTAAAATTCTTAGCAAACTTTTGAGTTGCAGTGTATTTAGGTGTGTTAGGAATGAGAGAATTTTAATTTATTTTCAATGAATTTGAGAGTTTACAGAAAGTGTGGTTGCATGATATTTTGGTTGTATCAATAATCCGACTGCAAAGGTTTCTTCCCCCCGCCCCACCACATAGAAAAGGTTTATTTAGGTGACCCAATTTTATTGAATTTCTGAATCACACCTTCTGCAGCAACATTAATAGATTAAAACAGACTATACTTTGATGCCCTTTTGTAATTTTATTCAGCGGTTTGGTCCCTCTGTTAATTAACTTAGTGATTATACTTTTCTTGATATTCATAAACTACAATGTGCAACATAGATGGACCATTTTCAACTGCTCTGAAACAAAATAAAATTTTAAAATGTTTCGTAACACGTGATAGTGTTTGTTGGATCTAAAATCGTTATTAGCACCAATACTATGCTGCAGGCCTGAATTTTTGGATTGTACTGCAAGGACTGGTCTAGACATGCTTTCGAAGCATTACTATCAAGCAGCAAGCGCTTGGGTTGTGTTCTTTGTCCCTGAAAGTGATGCTGATATTGGATACTACAATGAATTTATGCATTATCTTGGGGAGAAGCAGCGCGCAGCCGTTGCTAAGTTAGATGACAAGAATACCTTGTTTCTTGTACCCCCATCAGACTTCTCAGAGAAAGTGCTGAAGGTTCCAGGGAAACTCAGCATCTCTGGTGTTGTTTTGAGGTTAGAGCATCCTAGTTCCAATTTTGGATCTCATCACCAGCAACATGAAAGAAAAGATAGGAGGTTATTGTCGTTTCCCGGGGACGCATCATATACAAATCCATCAACACCTTCAGAATCTATTCATCCATTTACATCTTTACCTGATTCAAGTAAACCAGGAGGTAGCAATCTCTCTTTCTTGGGGAATTTAATTACATCAGCTCCACCAGCGTCATATTCAGGTTCAGCTCATGGTGTTGGCAATGGATCTGAGTCTTACAATGAAAACAGGCACGATTATCCACTACATAAGGGAAGCCCTACATTGGGGCCAAATTGGTCTTCTCACCACCTGCAGAACTCAGTTTCTGGTAGTCGAAATAGACCAACCCAAATGTCCAGTATTGCCGTTGATCCTATTCATCAGGATCATAGGATCATGCAAAGGGCAGTGCAAGAGTCAAGCACTGCAGGTGGAATTTCTCATATTCGAAACAGCAGTTCATCACTCCATGAAACCCAATCGTCACCTTCTTTGGCAGCCCTGCAGCCAGACCAACTTGCACAACTGGCATCATCTCTTCTTGGGCAGCAGAGGCAGCCTGGGAGCACTCCAAATCCATATACCAGAGAAGATTTTAGGCAGAGAAACACAATGAATGAGTCTGACAACCTTCCAAGGACATCCCAGAGATTTGGTCTGCAGAATAATCAGGTGAGTTCTGAATCATCAACATCTCAGTTTGGTCAAGTTCAAGAGTTGCAGCAGCTGCAACAGCAGGTATCAACCGTGTCGGCAATGCCTCACATGGGCCAAAGAGAGCTTCAAGCAGTGGTTCAGGGAAATCAACAGCTGCAAAGTATTAGCTCAAATGAAGCTGTGGAAACTGATCCTCAGAAACAACGGATGCAAGCAACATTACAGTTGGCAGCAGCTCTTCTTCAGCAAATCCAAGGAGGGAAAGGAAGTTGACTAGAGTGTGTTGGTCTCATCTGTTTGTGTGAGTGAGTAGCAAATAAAATTTTGATAATCTTCCATGGGACAACTACTTGTGCTAATACAAGGAAATTCAACATTCGACATCTGTAACAGAGTGCAGTTGCACATTAATTTTGCTTGCTTTCCCTAGCAAACTCAGAATTAGATGTAAATACTCTTTTCTTTTTCTTTTTTTCTTGTTGGGGTTCAAGTAATTGAACGTTTATTGGTTGTGTTGTCCAATGGAAATGCTAACTTATTTACGTTCTATTTGGACTTAGTTGAAGAAGTTTGGATCAGCTAGATTTGATAGTTAAACTGAACTGGAGCGTCTCTTTTGCTTCGTTCTTTTATGTCAATATCACCCTGAGATTAAGATAATGTCGTATATTGTACATAAAAAGCAAGGGACTCTGCTAAGATTAAGTTGTGGCACCCAAGTCCAGCGTAATGCTTTTTTCCTGCCTTTAGCATAGTTGTAATCTCCAAAGACCAGTGGTAAATTGAAGAAAAATGAAGAACAAGGCAGAAGGAAATTATATTGCTTTATTGATATGGAGAAAATTAATACCAAGTTATATTACAGAAAGAATAAGAATCAATGAATATTATAGAACATGTCCACTATACGCATGTGCTGCAAATGTTGACAATCCTGATGAACTCCAAGATGAACATGGGAAATCTGCACTAGCTCAAGCATCCTTCTAAACATAGAAGTAGGTAGATGCATCTGTAGCATTTTCTGTATCCCTGCAAAGAATTGATCGGGCTTCGATCACTGAACGAGGGGGCTCTAGATCTTTCTCTTGCAGAGCATTGCCTTGTAATCGCTGCATTTGGGAAGCAAAGGTATCGTCCAATATCTACAGACAAAACATAGTGAAGTTAGAAGCATGCAGTAAGGCAGCATCCACCAGAGACAACCTCAAACAATGCATCTGACCTTAATCACCTAATTATTTCATTGAAGTTCAAATATGGTTATAAGGTTGGATACTTGGATTGAGGCAGCCCTCAATCTGAAGCTACTTACCCCAAGAGCATAATAGGATCCGTTATACCAGACTCGGTTTTCCTTCCTGCCTTCAAGGAATTTCAAAACGATCTAGTACAAAAGAATTGTAATGCATCAGAATTAAGAAGATTTAAAAAGTAATGGTTGTGTGAAATACAGTTCTCTCTATTTACCTGTCCCATTCTATCCCAGAATCCACGACAAATTGCAATAAATATTTTACTTGAAAAAACCTCATGCAAGTTGGAGATGGAGTCTACAAGCTGTGAACTCAGTGCATGCATTCTTTCACGGACCTCAGCCTCTCCATCTTCTTCCTTTGTTTCCTCTAGAATCCTTTTGAGCCTTGTGTTACGGTTAGCTTGCACCTGAAACAATCATTTATGAGAACTGTTAATCAGCCTTACATTGCAAATGACAACGATATATTAAATTGTGAGCAGCCGTACATTGCTAATGAGCTTCCCTACTGTTGCCTGCAGGTAATTTTTGTATTTTGTCCTCAAGAGGACTGTGATTCCATTCATCTGCTCCCCGAACAGCGACTTCTTGTTATCTCCCAAGTCAGGAAGATAGGAGGCCCAAGGCTTTAAGATGTCTTCTACTTTACAATGAAGGACATCAAGAATTCTCTTCAGGGTGTTTAAAAAAATTCCGAGCTGGGAAAGATATAGAAACTTATTAATATATAGAATTGTGACGCATAATTTTGTCTGTGTGTGAATGAGTGACAGATTAGATTTTATTACATTCCAGTATCAGATGCCCAGTGGATAAATCTGATACCATGTTTAGGTCCCATAGGAAATATTTGTAAGTGGGTTACTCACTTGATTAGGAACAGCGTAGATTGCCATTGATTGTCGTCTTGTCAGCTTCTGGACCTGCATATTGAGCCTCTTTTGGATACCATCTTTCAATGGAGTCAAGATATCATTATATTGCTTCTCCAGTGCTTTTATGATTGCTCTTTCGACATTGGCAACAGCCTGCACAGAACCAATAAGATAGCTTAGATGAATGTATAGGGTAGCTCTGTGACAAAAACTAAAGGCATGAAATGAGATGAGAACTCACCTGTTCCAAAATCAATGAGTATTGAGGCCATCGATTGAGTACCACTTCATATTGTATAAGGGTCTCTCTAATGTTCTCATACATTTCCTCAGCAAATGGTGACGTGGAATGATTTGTTGACACCCCAGACCATGGCACCTGCATTATTATTTAGAGCTACTTGGTTAAACACAATTCCTCAACTGAGGGAGAGAGGAGAGGGGATACACAAAAAGCTCTTGAAGAGAGGATACCTTTTCTGCCTTGCAAAGTTCAAGTAAGTTAAGTTGCATATCCTGTACCCAGACCATTATATAATTGTGAAACAGATTTTTTGAGTCTACACCACCCTGCACTGGACTGAAGTAAATAAAACATGAAATCAGAACTCTACAAAATAACAGAAACTTCGTTGCTACCATTTATTGCGACTTTCTCAGGGCACCATTTCATTCTAGAAAATCAAATCACAAAACTTCATTTAATGCTAGGGATTTTGGTCCAAATCTCTTTCACTGACCTGATATTCCATGATTCAAGGTTCCTTTCAAATTCAGCAATTGCAATTAAAAGCTCATTTACATGTGGCTGTGGACCAGATGGAGGCAAGGCAGCAAGGAAAGCTCGAAGCCTGTTGCACAACTCAGTGCTGTAAATAGCAGCAGCTATATTCGAGAGGTCAATTGAACTGGAATTAGCTAACATTTGTCAGTATACATATGAAATAATCAAAATTAGAAAGTTCACACTCAAAAACTTTATGATATTGGATCCAACTATAATATTGTACATGAGTCAGCAACATTAGGTACAAAAAAGAAAGGTCTGTACCTGGGGAGTACATGCTGATTGTGGATCTTGATGTCTGCCTGAATTTCCCTTTGTATATTTATACACAAATTCTTCATTTTCAAAAATGCTGTTGAGATGGATATGGAGTCCATAAGGAAACCTTCAGAGTTTGTTGACACAAACTCATCGGTCTCCAGCGTGTGTTTCCGGTACCTCTTTTTTGCCGCTGTCTGTTAAGAAATGCATTTGGGTAAATACTCAATCAAAACAGAGTGAAAAACAAACAAGGCTAGAAGCCTGCCTCCAAGTTATGAATTGACATTTTTCATGTACCTGCAAATAGTTGCGCAGCATAGTTTGGGCATCTAGCGTGAGGATATCATGAAGGAGAATGTAGACCTGTACAGCAGGAGCTAGAGCTGGTGCTGCAGACTCTGGAGTTGGACCAAACAAGACTGCGAACCCTGTAGTAGAGCCTTCATCTAATGATTTGTAGTTTTCAAAAACATTTGCTAAAAGACTTTCAATTTGTGTTTCACAATCTAACAGTATACTTTTCTGCAAGAAAGAAAGATCAAAGCCAACAAAAGAAAAGGAAGTTATGATCCACAGGGAAAACCACAAAAATAAAAATATTTATAATAAAAATAAAATAAAATAAAATAAAAAGCTTTTAAATCTAGTGATAGAAACAAAGAATTTGTTCAAGAATTGTTGTAGTATCATGTAATCTTGCTCTTTTGCAGAGCCATACCTCCTGCCTAGTCAAACATTTTTCACTCCTGGCCTTTAGTATAGGTACAAGTAATTCATTCACAAGCTCCAAGCAATCCTTTGTCGGAGTTGCCACATTCATGACATGTGAAAGATATCTACAAAGAAACCGAAGGGAAGTGAATATGATGCCAAGCCATCACAAATTTCTTCATAATAATTCTAGTTACTAAATTTGGCAAAATGTACTTTTGCTAAGTACCTCAACTTTGTGTATGACTTGGAAACTTCATAGTAGTCTGCAAATTCGGTCAACAACCACTTCCAAGGTCCACTTAACCATAAGTTCCGGGAATGAAAGTTTTGTGCCCGCATAGCAGCCTCCAGCAACAAATCATAGGCTAGAGTCTCTGCAACTGGTCCACTCTATAATATGTGAAAGAGTATAGATGAGAACCTGGGTAAGTATACACCAATCTACCTACCTAAAGAATATATGCGACAAGATTTGCTTATAATGGGTATCGGTTGAGTTGGAAGAAATGAAACCTTTATATGATTAGCTTCATCATTTGTGATCGTGCTACCAATATTGAGCTGAATCTTCCCAATGCATTCTTGATCATCATGGTATAAAGGCCACCACCGAACTTTATCATTCTGCATAGTCACAAAAATCACATCAAATAACATGTGGATGGTAAAAAGGTATTGTTTCACCTTTAGCAAAATCTGACATTGGATGATAGGGAAGGATGCATACTGTGGTATCAGTCAAGGATGAAATAGGAATTGTGGTTCGACCTTGGACTGATTTTTTCGTGTCTTGAACTTCCACCATCAGAGCATCCACTTGACTCTCTGGGAAACTGAAATTACATGGAATGTGTAAGATCTTCTCCACTTTTAACATAACATAATTTTCAAACTGTAACCAATGTCCCTTGAAGGGCTGACATACATTTTGGTATGGTACATTATGACACAGACAGTACTAACGCAAATTACCAGCATATCCATTAAAAAGAAGGATCAAAATGTAACTTACAACATGAGATCAAAATAGAAACTTACAACACATGGTAATCACCACTTCCGGGGCGCAAGCAAATTGCTGAACTTGACTCTACTTCAGTGTCTTCAGTGGCACTACTAAGTTGGAATATGCAGGAAAGTGTCTCTGCACACACTAAAAGATAACTATCAATCATCCATCCATTGAAACACAGGATTCGTATCACAGGACATAACGAAAGATCCACCAAGGGATGCTACATAGATATATTCTCATGCTTATCTTAATCAATAACAAAAAAGCTCTAAGCTTGTAGTAATATATATATATATATATATATATGTAGTAGATGGTGCCTCCATATTTAGTATTCAGAGAAAATTTGATTTAAGAACAACACCAGAGTTTTTGTAGAGCACAAACCTTCTGTTGTAACTGATAATGATGACGACTTTAAAGAACTTATGCCAGTTTTTACTAGTGATGAAACATGTCGAACATATTCTGCCCCTGCTTGTATGTACATTGCACCTCTCTGTGAATATGTGCTCTTCAGTTTCCTTCTTGGTATTACTCGAAGTTTCCTCACTGCCATCATTTAAAAACCACATTAAATTGTAAAATTTAATGTCGAAAATAAACCTAACATCCTAAGATAAGATTAAATAATGTTAGCATAGAAACCATCTATTACTTTTAAGAAATAGTTAAGATAGCATTTCATACTTTTTGGCCTCCGAAAACAGTTGTATATAAAGCAATTAATTGAATTTGGTAAAAGAGCGTTTTGAAGTTCAATTCCAGTTAATTTCTTAAACTGAAAGTAACTTCGAGCCCATTTGTCAATATCTCACTTATAAAGTCAATTCATTTAGGAGATCGCACCTTCAACTCTTATCTTTCCAACCACCTTCTTTGCCTTCGGAGGAAAAATTTGGTCTGCATTCCTACTCGTCTTTGCTTCTACTGGTTGCACACCCCGGGGTTGCAACAAAAATGTGTTTAGCCTGTATAATCAGAGTTTAAATCTGAAATTCCCATTCAAAGCCCGAGAACTAGCCATGGCACTTCAAAAAATAAAGTTTCCAGCATTAGGAAAAGGTAGCTAACCCAAAGGCATTCCGAAGAGCCAGGCACTCATCTCGTAGAAATTCGGGTGCCTCAGTGCAGCCTCTTGCCCATGCTTGTAGGCATAAGCGTATACATGCCTCGTGTGCAATCAAGGTTTGCCAGGCATATTGGCCACTGCAATGATGAATTGAGATGCCATGAAAAGAATGAAAAAATATGGTTTTTCAAATTTCAGAATGACAAAACTAATATACGTGCAGAATCTTTTGGATCTAACTGGCTTTTACTCGATACGAATATATAATCATAATCAAATTTTTGGAAAGGCAACTCTTTCCTTGTTCAATGTAGAAGTGCAAACACAGTTAAGTTCTTACTGATAAAGCAATAAAACTCCACTAAAACCGAAGTAGCAGTAAACAAGTATCTGACTTTATATGAAATTCAACATTGGATGCACCTGGTATTATAATAAGCTGAATGGTCTAATTGGCTGGCTTGCAAAGAAGGGATTCTTGTTTCTGTCTCTCCATCTATGCTTTTGTTGGCTCTGCAGAAGACAATGTTAAATTATGCGAATTATCAAAAACACAAGAAAGAAACAAAAGAAATCAAGTGAAAGTCACAGTTCACAAAAAAATACTAAAACAAGGAGCAAACAGGTCTTTTTGCAGTACCTGTCACCAAGTTCAGAAGCTTTGAAAGAACTAGTATCCAAATCTGCTAAAGCGTCTACACTCCCATCAAAACCCATTGATCCCCTTGATGGGCAAGTCCAATTTTCAGCTCCATTGCTCTCTGTCAACCCTTGACAAGCTTCTTGACCTTGACTCTCAACCTCAAAGCCCTTCTCGTCCCTTGCAATTTCAAAAATGGGAGGCGCACTTGGAGTTCCCAAGTCTGCTGAATCTCTGAGCATACTACATTCATCACCACTTGGGGTAGTACCCTGCTAAACAATCACCAACCAAGATTCAAAATCACAAACAAACACTTACGGTCTTACCCACTACAAAAAAATAACCGAGAGTTATAACTAAAAAGACCAGCATCAAGGCCTACATTGAAATTACGAAGTTGAGCCCTTTTCAGAAGCTGATTGCCAGCACATGGGGTCGAAGTCTTCGGGGCACATCTATTCTTGAAACCCACTTCACCATCCGTAAATCTCCTGCAATTTCCAGGCAATTCAATCCTCAGACCCTCCTTCAACAACCCTCTATTCAACCCTGTGCTAGACTTGTTCTTGTAACCAAACAACTCTTCTTCTTCGTAGTACTGCTCCATCGGTTTTGTCTCTTCATCGAAGTAATTGGCAGCTGAACCTTCATCAGAAACTGAAGCTACACTCTCGTTATCATCATATTCATTATCAGTGTCGCTGCTTAGACAAGAAGCTACCAAGCTATGAGGTGCGAGGAGGCCAGCGTGGAACTTGAGTGGAGGCAGAACATGGCTTCCACTGTTGGAGCTGAAGCGCAGAGGCGATTTTGGGTACGGTTCCGTAGTGAGTTTCTCTGAGAGAGGCGATCGAATAGCTGGTGGTGTTTGTTGTTGTTGCTGTTGTTGTTCAACAAGTAGCTCAGCCTCTGATCCCTGCAGCAGGTATTCAATTGAAATCCATAAAGAGCTTAAATACACATGAACACGCAGATTCAACATGCGTTTTTAGATTCGCGAAGATGAATTATGTATATGGTTTTTGAAAAGTTAAGAGCTTTTGGGATTTGGGTACCTGTTTGATCCACTTGATTGCATTTTCGTCGAGGCCTTCGGTGAACATTTTGCAGGGTTTTGGGAGAGAGAGAGAGCGAGAGAGAGAGAGGCTTTGTTGAAGAAGGAAGGTTGAGAGAGCTGAGATGGTGGAAGAAGAAGAAGAGAGAGAAAGAGCTCGTAGGTCGGTGGTGCAGATGTGGGGATTTCGGCTGCCAACGGCTAGTTAGACTTTATAAATGTTTTTCAAACATAGAAAAGGGACTTTTTTCTTCTTTTAATTTTTCTAGGAAAAATAGAAGGGGGACTTTTCCTCATGTCACAATCCAACAATTTGAAAAATAATAAGAACAAAAAATATGATTCATTTAAGCTCATTTAAGCACAATCTGGCGATTATTTTCGAATTTCTAGATTTTAGTTGAAGAAATAAACAACTTAAAGATTTTTTTTTTCTTCAGAAAATAAGAGAAAATGAGTGGGGGAAATGCAAATAAACACAAGTTAAAATATTATTGTTATTTGCACTCTTCTTTAAGGATAAGGAATGATGGAAGCTTTTTGGGGAGTGCTGTAATTTGCTGTATTCATTACACAATGGAGAAGGCTCCTCAAAATTAAATAATCAAAACAATTTTATTTTATTTTGTTTTGTTTTGTTTTGTTTTATTTTGTTTTGTTTTAATAAGATCACCATCACATTGACCTGAACTTGAAGACTGGACCCTTTACCTTCACTCTATCTATGCCCACATGGATCCAGAAAGAACATGAGATTTGCAATGGGAGCTTTTTCAACCCTTTGCCTGTTCCACAAGAGATTTGCAACCATATTGCTCACTTTTTGCATGTTCTTCTAATTGGAATTTTTATTATTATTGGAATATTAGTTTGGAATTTGGGTTGAGGATATTGCACCATGGAGCCACATTTACATGTTCTTCTATGTGTAAATTCGAGAGTGTAAAACCACATTTACATCCTTTTACACCTCCGAAATATATACACCCTTATACTCCCACCATTGCAGGGTGTAAATTATATACACCCCTTTTACATTCACCATTGTAGTTGCTCTTATCTTGTATCCTAGAAAATTATGTAAATTCTTCTCAATGAATGAGGTTGTCAGCAAAGAAAGAAAATAAAAACATTAAGTGCATCATAATAACTGCTGTGCACCAACCAACACTAAATGAGCAAAACAAACCTAGCTGAAAAGCAAGCCATGCCTGAAAACCAGAGAGCAGTTTGGCATTAAATTCTTGGGAGGAGCAATGAAGAAGGTGAAGACAATTAATTACAGGAAACTAACTAAGTAGAGGCTTCCACGTTTCTCCTCTCATGCAGTAGAAATCAAAGGACTCTCTGCAATGCTCACCTCTGGCAAGCCCTGCTGGCATTGGCCTCTGCTGTGCTGCTTCTCATGTAAATCATGATCATCTGTGTAGACCTCCAATTCTGTGCTGCAAGGCCCTAAACCTCGGTTTTTTCACCTGGTTGTTGTGTGGAAGGAAATAACAGAGAAAGAGCTAGCTGTTCAAAGTTCAAACCAGTCCAGCAGGTAGATGTTTCATAGAGGGGGAGGAGGAGGAAGTGGTGTTCCAAATCACACATATAATAGTCAGCTTCTGCGGGCTGCTGCTCTTCAACCTCGGGAAGAAGAAGAAGAAAAAGAAAGGATGGTTGGTTGTGGTTTTGATTATTTTGGTGATGATGAGCAAGATTTTCAAGGACCCCCAACTCCCACTGTCACACTGAGTGATGACAGTGTTGTTGTTGAGGGTGAAGAGGAGGAGGAGGAGGAAGAGGAAGAAGAAGAAGAAGAAGAGAACCTTTCTCATGATCTTCAAACACCTTCGGTTCTGAGTTCGAACTTCAAACCTCGCCTTCGATGGACTCCTCACCTTCATGCCTGCTTTGTTGATGCTATCAATCAGCTTGGTGGCCCCCATAGTAAGCAACCCATCTCCCTTGGCTTTGTTGTATATATATATATACCTATGCATACACATATATAGTATCTTGTTTTTTTTTTATTAAGAAGGGGGGCAAAGCCCCAAGAAACAGACTACACACCCTGGTCTAAACAGACCAATCTAGAATGAACAATTCCAAGCAGATCATCAACAAGATAAGCACTTAACCAACTAGGGGCCTGCTCAAACATGCACAGACCAAGATCCACTTGATAACTCGAATTAGCCAATCGGTCAGCAACAATATTCTTCTCACAAAAAACATGCTGAAGGGCACAACTGGGAATCTGCTGCATAAGGTCACAACAGCTCCTAACCAAAGCAGCTAAGGGAAGCAAAGCAAGCATAGAATAATTCTGACAGAGATTGACTGCAATAGCTGAGTCCATCTCAATAATGAGGCTACTGATGCCCTTCTCAATTGCTAACTTCAAACCAAAAAAAAGACCCCATATCTCAGCCTCAAGAACTTGACCTTTTCCCAGATTAACAGCAAACCACTAAACCCAATCACCAAAAGGATCACGAATAACTCCCCCAGCACCAATGCAAGCAGTAGCGCTTCTCCTTGAACCATCCACATTCAGTTTGAACTGTCCAGGCCTAGGAGGCTCCCAGGCAACATGAATTTGAACTTTATTTACCCTTATAGTGCGATTAGAAGTTGACTTAATCCACTCTTGGGCTGCCCCACAAATAACTTGTCTTACCCTTATAGTATCTTGTTTTCAGTCATCTGAACATGTCACATATTACATTTGCAGAGGCAACTCCGAAAAAGCTTCTGCAGAAAATGGGTGTCAAGGGAATAACTCTTTACCACTTGAAGAGCCACCTCCAGGTCTGTTTGATCCATTCACTAATTGATGTTATTTAAGGAGAAATTCTTGTTGTTAAGTGGTTGATCATTGATGCGTAATCATATTGCAGAAATACAGACTTGGAAAGTACTCGGTGAAGGAGTGGAAGGAGGTTCCGGAAACTTGTGAGTTCTCAATCAAAACTAGCAAATGTAAAAACATACCTCTAAACGAGTTCTTTTGTAAATAACTGAAGAAAAAATTGTGCAGGAAAGTAAAACCCAAAAATAAAAGAGAGGGGGGGGAGAGAGAGAGAGAGAGAAAGTAGTTAAACAACTGATGTAGTGATGAAGAACTAACTTGTGAATTGTGAATAAAATATCATGTTTTTGAGCTGACTTTAGATTTTCAGTACCACTAAATGAAAGAGACCTCAGTTTCACAGGACTTCGAAGGCAGAAGCGTTAGTGGCACTTCCGTGTGCTCTTCGCGATCCCAGAAAAAGTATGATTTGCTCTGCTCCTTTTATCTCCACTAAACATGTCTTTCTTAAGAATTACAATTCCATTTTCAAGTGCATTATCTGCTAAAGGCTGTGATTTTTTATTTTTGTGGGATGTGTCTCCATACATAGGCATTCTTCTAAACTAATAAAGAAAGCTCTAACCCAGACGGAAGTTGAAGAAAAACTTGGTCTGCAAATTGAGGCAAGTTTTCAAGTTTGGAAATTGATTTGGGAACTTAAGCTGATAAATATGAACCTTGTTCTCTATTCTTTAGTTTTTTGGTGGCATGTTGCAAGAAAAACACAAAGGGGTAAAGTACCTGATGAAACTTATCCTCACCACACCATAATTTTGCAGGCTGAGAAGCGATTAAAATTGCGTCAGGATGCCGAACGAAGATATATGGATTATGCACTAGATAATGCATGTAAAAAGCTTGCTGATCAGTTTCTTGGAAGTGTTGCAGTAGACTCTGCAGGCGTATTTCGAAAGGATGTAGCTGGTTTAGGAACTATGGTGTCAATAATACCTCAGAAAGATCAATTCCTTGCATATGACATAACTAAGGAAACCAGCATGCTGCTTAGTCTTGAAGACCAACTTGGTGGGTTTGAAGCTCAGAGGGAAGCTTATCACGAAACTGAAGACCACCTGATCTCACATGGAAATTCAGAAAATTCATCTGTGGAAGATTTACAAATTCTTGCTGACGATGACAAGATAATGGAGCAGAGTTTGGATAATGACCCTGCAGAAGCTTACTTGGTTTTGGATACTGCTGAAATGGGGACCTCCAGTCATAGAACTTAATTTCATCAACCCACATCAACATGGTGTGCTAAGGCACTCTGGATGAAAGAACAAAACCACCTTTATGTTGTTTGCTAGTGGAGTTTCATAATTTAAGATTTTTGTTCTGGTATAAAACTTTGGCAGCTTAGTTCTGCTTGTTGCTAGTGGTTATTTCTTTTTTTGACTGCTCATGGCACTCTTGAATGTATTCAAGGTGCTTTGTTACTATGGACTATGGAGTCAATCATGGACTTTTGGGCATGGTTATATACGACCGGTGACACTCAAAAATCTTTCCTAACCATAGGTGTGAGCATGGGTTGAGTTGGGTAGGCTTTAATCTCAATCTGTAACTCAACCCAATATATAGCTATTTATGATTTCTTAGATCCAAGACCAGCTCATTATTAGGCTAACTCAACCCAATCCAAACTTTTTGTGATCGGATTTGGCAGTTCGGTCAAGTTAACTCAAAATTAAACATACTTTTTAGTTTTGGTTCAAATCCTTGGTTCTAACCCGTACATAACAGTTTATGATTTTTTGAATTCAAGACTCGCTCAATTTTAGTCCAACCCAACCCACTATGACCGGGTTGGACGATTCGACCAAGTGGACCCAAAATTGTGCCCACCCTCAAACCATGGACTTCTTGGCTCTAACGTTGTTGAAATCCACCCCATCACCAGTTGTATACAACCATGGAGATGAAAGATATAGACAGATGATTATATAACGGTGGTGACAACCAAAATCTCCCCTGAAGTTGGCAAGCTTCACTAACCAACGAACAGTGGGACTGTAGGAGCCTGTAATTCAGCCTCCGACTAAAACAAAACAACAGTTCAACTGAATTAAATCCCATAAGGAAACATTAAAGAGGTGTATCAAATTTAAAAATTTACCAGCACAAAATCAACCGGTTGTTGGGATTCGAAAGAATTATCCAATTCACCTTTCTATTCAGATATGAAATAAAAGATAATACAAGGACTGAAGGTCCACGAATTACAACTTTCTAGTAGAATGTGATTAAACTAAAGTAAAGCGCAACACTAGTGAGCAGTAAGAAACCAAATCGGATATGTGTGGGGTGAAAGGAGAATCTACCGCTGATCATTTCACAAGCGAGGCAGCAAACAGAAATAGGTCTTCTTGCCATATAATCAGAAAGCCTCTTGAGATGCTGCAATACAATCAGCTTTCAATGCAACCAAGTAAAGACTAAAATGAATAACCAAAAATACTTCTTCCTACATAGCAGACTCATTTCCCAACTGTTTGATGAAGAATTCCAGCCAACACTCTTAATCGATCTTTACGGATGAGAAGAGGTAATGAACAAAGTAGAAAGACATGAGAAAGCCAATTGTGCCAGTTGACAACATGATTGCAGTTGCCATGATCAATGAATAACCAAGGTAAAGGATAGCCGACACAGGCCCACTCAAACTCTGCAGGTCAAATACCAAGTAATTGATGGAGTACAGGAACACATAAAGGGAAACAGAACCTGAAGCAAAGAAAGCCTTCCACCACCACCTCCAATCCTCCACACAAAGATGCATGTAGGTGAGAACCACTGAAACTTCAGCACAAACAATAACCAACAACAGAAGCACTATAAGCAGGAAACCAAAGACATAATAGAACCTCCCAAGCCAGATGCTAGAAAGGATGAAGAAAAGTTCAATGAAGAGGGTTCCAAATGGAAGTGTCCCAGCGCCAAGAACAAGAAGCCATGATGGATATTTGCGCGCAGGAATTTCCCTTGGAATCTGGTTGGTTCTCACAGGATATTGAATTGCCTCAGCTCGTGTACCTAAGAAACCTCCGAGAAGAGTGAGAGGCACTGAAATGCAGAACCAGAGGGACAAGAGTACAAAAAACAAGGAAATGGGAAGAGCACCAGTACTATTGCTGCCCCATAGAATGAAGTTCAGTACCGTAAGAATAAGAAAGACGATTCCAGGAAAGAAGCATGCCACAAACCAGGAAACTGATCTCCACCCTTCGGAAGTTCCCTTTATGGTTCTCCACATACGGACAGCAACATAACCGGCAATAATCCCAAGGAAAAGATATAGAATGATCATTCCTGTCAATAGCATTCCTCGTGAAGCTGGCGACATGAAACCAAATGCTGCAAAAATGATAGTGACAACTGCCATCCCTGTAATCTGAACCCCGTCTCCAACCATAACACAAAGAAGCTTTGAAGAATCTGGTTCTCTGAACACATCTCCCACAACAAGCTTCCACCCAGAGAGCTCCTCATTCATCTGAGCTTGAGATTCTTTGTCCAGTTCTTCATATCTTGTTAAATCCCTCCTCACAGTCCTTAGGAATATGACAAAGACAATACCAGCAAGGAAAAAGATCACCATTAATGAATTCAAGATAGAGAACCAGTGCACACGAGCCCCCTCCATCTTCAGATAAGCATCCCACCTTGATGGCCATCTTATATCACTTTTCACAAACTCAACCTCATAAGTGAATGATACTCTCTCTTGCTCCCTTATTATTTGATACTTTTCAAGCTCTGAGGGGCAATTTACAGCTGGGATACTTTGGTAGATGGATTTTTTCTTCATGGTGTCAGGGTCGTATTTAATGCTACAAGGGTAAACCTCAAAGCCAACAATCTCAAACCCAGATGCCTTTTTCTTTTCAGCTTCGGAAATGACACCCGGACCTTCTTCCCCAGTCCCAATTATCTGCACACCACTCCCTTCATACTCGTGAATCAAAACCCTGAACTTCAGGTGATTGATTATGTAATCATCTTTACTGTTGGGTGGAGTGTACCCAACAGGAAACCCAGTCCACTGAATCTTAACCCCATTTTGGTAAGCATATCTCATCGCCGGCAAATTATCAAGGATCATGTTGACCTGATACAGATCACGGGTTCTTTGTTTCAGCAGCTTTACGTCGTGCTCAGTCAATGGGTGTGTGGTACATAGGTAAACAGTTTCATTGACATTCATTTTAAATCGGTAAGCGGAGTTCTCGATCTCATCTCCCATGAGGAGTTCCCCGAGATTCTCAGCGCTTTTCTTGATACCTTTAGGGGGTTTGCAATAAGGGAGACTGTAGTAGCTGAAGGGCAGCTCAGTCTCTATAGAAGTTAAGGAGTTAACTTTGGTAATGATTTCTTGCGCTTTGGAATATGTATGCATGTAGCTTCCCGGGAGATAAAACCCATTACAGGTGTGCGCAAATAGAGCCAAAACAAGCAAAGTCCATTTGATATAGGTCACTCTCGGATTCGATATCGCCATCGAAATCGAGAAAAATAGCACTCACCAGAGGTTGGAGTAAGCAGTGGATCTACGCTAGTCTTACAAATGCATTCAACAATAAATCTACACAAAGTTTCAAAAAAAACCCAGTATCAGCCAACAATAAAGAATGAATTTTTGAGCTGGATTAGCAAAATAACCATTTGGGTTAACAAATTAGAGCATGAAGTTGTTTATTGTTTGATTTCTACTCTCCAACCGCATCAGATCCACTAATAACAGAGCATAAACAAGCATATACTCACTCAATCAGATCCGATTATAAAAAACAAAAAAAAACAAACAAACAGAAGCAGATCCATGAATTCAAATATTACAACTTGGAATTATAGATTTCAAACATGCCATGGAAGATGTGAGAAAATTGAAGACGCACCGTAATAGATCTGGAGCAAAACTTTGAAGGGATGCTGAAGGCTGTGTGCGTGAGAGCGAAGCTCAAAATCTCGGCGTCCCCTTCTTTTAAAATTTTATGCTGCTCCCATTAGAGCAAAGGGGTTATAGAAGGCATGAAGGAACCAACTTTGCTTCGGAAAAATGGTGCGAAAGGAGATGAGAATAACTTATTCTCTACGCGCTCATATTGGTATTGTGAAGTAGGTTGGGCCCCAGCCCACTAAAGTTACATTGGATTTTTTTTAAAGGAAAACTTATATTATTTTTTTTGTCACTTGGATTGGATCTTGAATATCTGGGTGTGTGATTTTCATTTTATTTTTATTTTTATTTTTATTTTTTTTATGTTTTTAATTTTTTAAATCTTTTTAATTTTTTTTTATGAGCTTGACTGATTGAGATCTGAGACGACTTTATAATGCTTTATGGTAAGAAAGTGCATTGTTATCATGATTATAGTGGTTAGAAATATCATTGTTACTTAATGTTTTGTTATATGAAACTTAGTTTTTTTCATAATTACATGCTTATAAAGTAATCTTGGCAATGAACATGTCATCAAACATGCTTATACATCAGTCTGACATGAATCTCATTTTTGGGAAAAATGTGATTAACAATATTGTATCATGTACAAATCTTTGGTTTGCAATTACTATACTTGGTAAGAATGTATAATATGAATCTACTTTTCCTTTTTTTCTCTTTTTTGGTAATGAGATTATGTGCTTTCTAATTTTACTTCCAATTCATAATGCCAATTATGTTTTAATTATACCAACCTTGTTTTCATGTTTCAGTTATCAGATATACCATCTTCCAGCTAGAGGTTGTGGGTTTATTCTAGCGTTGGTGGTGAGAGTAGTCAATTTCCCCCTAACTTTTAAAAACCAAAAAAGAAGAAGGGAATTAACTAGTTATTTAGACTACTAGTTTCATGTTTGAATTTCCATAGCACCTTGATAGTATGTGTATGTGAGAAACCACCATCCTCTTATAATTTAAACTGTCTTATTCAAAAGAAGGCATTAACTAGCATCAATTAGGGTTCTAAATAGCTCTTTTAACATGTCATTTCTTACAGAGAGTCACAGACAGATAATAACAACAAATTGTTCTCACATAATCTTACAATGAGATAGGAGGAAGAGAGAGGAGAGAGAGACCCAAAGGGTCATCATATTCCAAGCAACCAAGATATATTGTACAAATCTCTGTCAATGGAACTTGAGGCTGGTCAAGACGTTGTTGTTCACAGGGTCAGCCAAATGATCCAGAAGGTTCTGGAAGGGCCCCACACCAGTCACAAGGCCTTGTATGAAGTAACCCAAAATTGCCAACATAGCCAGCCTCCCGTTCTTCACCTCCTTGAGCTTCAAGTCCTTCAAAGACTTCTCATCTTTGCCAAATCCCAGAGGGTTGAAGAGGGGCCCACCCGGGTAAGCTGGGTCCCCTGAGCCACCCAAGTACTTCTCCAAGCCCAAAAAGTACTGCTTGCCCATGGACCCAGGATTGGCCCAGTCCTGGAACCTCCTGTGCTCTGCAAAGCCCATGAGGGCTAGCTCGAAGACAAAGAGTGTGTAGGGGTCAGCCCAGTAGTTGTAGGTCCCAGCTGGGGGGATCACCCCTGTTTGGAACCAGGGGAGGGCTGTCTCCGGTGGGATTAGGCCAAGCTTTCCAAGAATCTCTGGTGCTATGGCACCAACTGCACCCAGCATGGCATAACGTCCATTGATGACCTCTCCATACGCTAGCCATCTCGGCTCAATGAACCCTCCTGTGCCTTCTGGGTCAGACAGCCCCAGTGGATCAAATCCAAAGTCACCAGGAAGGCTGCAAAGACAAATTCAACCATTTTCCAAATTGAAGTACTTCATTTAAGTGATGCACTCAAATGTTTTAAGTACTTCATTTAACTACATGTTACCTGTGTTATAATATGAATGTACGATAAATTCATATTTTAAAGTATATATGAATAACATGAATGAATCACTAATATCACGTGACAGTGTTAAGGTCAAAAATAATTTCATAATTGAGAATTTGTATAAGAGGGCATGCACAAAGTATTACCTGCCATCCAAGTAAGTAAGGCTTTGCTTGGATGCAAACCACAATTGTCTGTCTGCTCCTTGCTGAAATCAAAATGCCAAGTATAAACAAAGAATGTTAAGACTTGTTTGTAAGATTGATTGAGCTTCACTAACTAACCATCAATTTGCTACAATATTACATACCTTAACAGGGGGTGTAGAGGCTGCCCTGACTACAAAGGAAGCAGATTTTCTTGACCCAAATGGAGATTGGACTGCCTTTCCTCCTAGTAAATGCCTTGCAGCCTCCTTTGAGGCTGTTAAAGATGAAGATGATACCAGAGCTTGTGTGGCCATTTTTCTCTTTTCTTTTCCTCTCTTGCTCTCTCTCTCTCTCTCTCTCTCTCTCTCCTCTACAAATCAAATATTTGCTCAGTCTCGAAGGCTATGAACTAGCACAAGTAATATACAAAGACAAAATGCATGGGCCAGGGGCCACCAAGACTTGTGGGCACTGTGGCATTGAACTCCTGGTGGATATTGGAGCTGTCCCAGGTTTCAGATTAGGTTAGGATCTGATTGCCCAACAAAGATTGTACACGTGGCTTCATTACCTGGATAAGGGATATTGCAAAATTTCATCGGATACACTCACTTAGAAACTTGATTTTAAAACATATTTTGGTAGCGCCTAACATGTGTATACATGAGTTGGAATGAAAGACATTTCCAATAACATGGACTATTTAGCTACAAATTTGAATTGATGTTTTCTTTAATTTTGCTGGAGTTGTCGAATGTTTTGGCTCTACAAGTTTTCAACGTACTCAACCATTTTTTTATTAGAGAACTAGAAGCTCAACACTTCCGGCTGACGATAATAATTTCCCTAATACTGATTTTGTATAATCGTATTTATATCTCTTTTCCCTATATAATAAATAGACACATAATTGTACACAACCGAGCACACTCATCATTTTATCCACAATGAGACTAGTACTCAAAGGCATGAACCACATATATCCATAAAATAAAATAAAAGAGGAATGGCGACAGATTCAGTTCTTATTGGGATCATAATAGGCCTAAAGGCCCAAAACGTAAACAACAACTAGCAACAAAGTTATATGGGCTTGTAAAATGAAGCTCCACCATCAGCCAAAATGACATTGCAGGAGGCTCAACAAGAATATGGCAGAGCAGAATCAAGGCCCAATTGCAGAAAGAGAAAAAAAAACAAATTCAAAGGAAAGAGTCCTGTGGGCCCATTGACCTAAAAACAAAGGTAAAGTGGGTCCCAATCTTAAAAGCTCGACCGCAGAGGATCCAAACCCTTAAAATATGTTTCATTTTCGTCCATAAAGCATAAACCCCTCACCTTAGAGGTTTTGTTGCTCACGTCCTCGCCTCTCTTAAACCCTACACAAAATCAACCTTAGGGTTTCTCTCTCTTCTGAAAACCCTAAACCCCTAATTACATCAAAGATGATGACCACCATCCTCCGAAGGTCACCTTCCATAGCCACGGTGCGGTCCTTCGCCGCCATCGAAACACTCCTGTTCAACCACCATTCATTTCTCGCCGCGTCGACGCCCGACCTCGTACTCCCCGGAAATGGTGCTCTCGGCGGTGAGGCTAGATCCTACACAGTCTCAGCGCCAAAGCCGAAGCTGGGTCCTTCCTACGGGTTTCGAGTGAGGGACTTGCACGCGAAATCTGGGCCGTTGAATTACCGGGCGTCGACGGCGCTGAGCGCCGAGTTCGCTGTTGATTACTCGTACGACGAGTCGTCTAAAAAGAGCGGCCAAGATGATGGACTCGATATCGCGAAGCTAGGGATTTCTCAGGACATTGTATCGGCTTTGGCCAAGAAGGGTATCACTAAGCTGTTCCCCATACAGGTGATTTATCATTTCCCGCTTGTGTGTTCTGTTTGTTTGATGAGAAAATGATTGGAAAAGAAGAAATCTTTTGAAATGATTTGTTTTCTGTGTGTATTAATTATTTGTTTGGAGATTTTGTGTACAGAGGGCTGTGTTGGAACCCGCGATGCAAGGGCGTGATATGATTGGTCGTGCTCGAACAGGAACAGGGAAAACTCTTGCGTTTGGGATACCCATCTTGGATAAAATCCTTAAATACAATGCCAAACATGGGTTTGTTTCTGCAATCATACTCATTAGTTAGATTAATAGTGCTCCAGTAGGGGTTCTCAGTAATTACTTTATAATTTCGCCTTTTCTACATTTTATTTTTTATTTTTGGGGTTTTCCATTATGGATTATAATTTATGTTTGATTATGCAGGCGTGGGAGGAACCCTTTGGCTTTGGTTTTGGCTCCAACAAGGGAACTTGCAAAGCAAGTTGAGAAGGAATTCCATGAGTCGGCACCTGGCTTGGATACAATTTGTGTTTATGGTGGTACACCCATTTCAAGTCAAATGAGGCAGCTTGATTATGGGGTTGATGTGGCTGTTGGCACACCTGGTCGTGTAATTGATCTTATTAATAGGGGTGCTTTGAATTTATCGGAAGTTCAGTTTGTTGTCCTTGATGAAGCTGATCAGATGCTCCAAGTGGGATTTCAAGAGGCCGTTGAGATTATCTTAGAGAAGTTACCGAAGAAACGTCAGACCTTGATGTTTTCTGCAACAATGCCGGGTTGGATTAAAAAGCTTACTCAAAATTACCTGAAAAATCCAGAAGTGATTGATCTTGTAAGTATGCAATTTTTTTTTGTATGTCCTTGCCTACTGAATACTAGGACCAGAGCATAGGCAATGGCATTGCCAGACTGAGGACAAGAAGCGTAAAACATTACTTTCTCCGTTCCATAATGGTTTTAGTGCTTAATGGCGTGACCTGATGGTTTATATGACTGACAAGGATAGTTTTGGTTAACTGTATTAATAAAAATCGCTACTTGTCTTCTTAATTTGTGCCTAGATATCGAGTGAAAGTTGGCAGAAATGGAAGATTTAATTTAATTTTTTTCTAAAAAGGTTTTGAAGCTAAAGTGGAGGCAAGAAAGGTTTCTTTTTGTGCATTTTTGTTTGGTGACATGAAAACTACTGGTGTGTAGTTTTGAGTGAGTATAAAGGTTTTACACATATTCATCTGAACATGGTTGCAAACTAACAAAAACTGGCATGTGCTGTAGGTTGGGGAGTCTGACCAGAAATTGGCCGATGGAATTTCTCTGTTCTCGATTTCATCAGATTCATATGGAAAAGCATCAATTATTGGACCACTTATAACAGTAAGTAATTGTAACCTTTTCAATTCTTGGTCTTACCCTTTCCAACATCTGGTCCTTTCTCACCACCAGATATGTGCTTGTTAGGAACACGCAAAAGGAGGAAAGTGTATTGTTTTTACGCAGACAAAACGTGATGCTGATCGATTGGCATATGCCATGTCAAGAAGCTATAAATGTGAAGCTTTGCATGGGGATATTAATCAAACCCAGAGGGAAAGGACCCTTGCAGGTTTTCGAGATGGGAATTTCAATATTTTAGTTGCCACTGATGTCGCTGCTCGCGGGCTTGATGTACCCAATGTTGATCTGGTGAGATTTATTTATCCTCTCATTTTGTGTAGTTTTTTGTTAATTTATCTTTGTGGCTGTCCCCGAGTTGTTAATTACTAGACATTGCATACATTCTTCACTAATCTAGTTATTTTTATTAACGTCTGTCCTTCCGTTTCATTTTAGTTTTTCATGAGTTGGTTAAAGCTTTTAAATGCTCTACTTAGGTTAGGCCCATATATGGTTTTGGATGCATTTGAAAGTGATAATATTATGGAGTCAAATTAATGACGAGGAATTCTACTGACATAAATTCTTTCTTCTCGTTTTCGGTGTTAGGTGATACATTACGAGCTTCCAAACAATTCAGAAATATTTGTTCATCGGTCAGGCCGAACAGGTCGTGCTGGGAAGAAAGGAAGTGCTATTCTTGTTTACACACAGGATCAATCCAGGGCTGTCAGGACTATTGAACAAGATGTAGGATGCAAATTCACAGAGGTAAAGATCAATTTCATTTTTATTTGTATCTTCCTTTTTCGGTGTTTCTCTTTTTGGTGGCAGCTGCTCACAGTTTTAAGGCCTTTTGAGATTGAGAGTACACATATCTGACTTGGGTTATTAAGTGTTTGTGGGGAAATTAATTAATAGGTTAAATGCTGAAAGTGGCTTGACAGTTATATGCTCAGGATGGCTTGCATTTTATTGTTAAAGTCGAAATCAGTAATTACCAACTGACAAAAACAAATAGACATTCCCATTAAAGGGTTGTGTTTCTGCTAAAATGTTTATGTGCACTTAACATGCATTCTGCTTATGTGATTTTCTTCGTTTTGAATCAAAGCCTGCCACAGGTCTGACATATTCCTCTTCAGTATTGTGTGGGAGCTTCCCAACACTTCGCATGCTTACATAACCTATAAATTGGAATTTATTTCTTAGCAGAATATGTCTGTGTTTATGTACGTAGCATGCTAAACTGATTATCTGATTGCTATGTGCTCATCAGCTCCCTCGGATTGCTGTTGACAGCAAAAGCATAGGCATGATGCCCGACATGGGTAGGTTTAACACAAAAAGTAGTCGATTTGGTCAAGCAGGACCAGGATTTAGCCGTCCTGGATTTGGTCGTTCCAGTGGCTATGGTGATTCTTCTGGTCAGATGGGTAGATCTAGTGGACCCCGTCCTGGTCGTTTTGGTTCCTTTGGTGATTCCGCTCAGTCTGGAGGTGGGTTTTCTGGATCTGGCTCAAATCGAGGAGGAAACTTTGGTGGTTCAGGTTTTGGTCGTTCAAGCGGTTCAAGTGGTTTCGGAGGGTTTGGTAGTTCTGATCGTTCAAGTGGTTTCGGAGGGTTTGGTGGTTCTGATCGTTCTGGCGGTTCTAGGAACTTTAGTTTGGATCGCCAGAGTGGATTTGCTGATGATAATTCTAGCCGTTTTGGCACCTTTGGTGCTGATGATCAAAATGCAGGGAGAAGACACTTCTGATTTTATTGAACGGTAAGTCTTTTTTATTCATGTATTCTTTTTCTTTGTTTCCCATATAATTTGCTGGCTCAATTGGGTTTCTTTTAATTGACGCATTCGCTTGTGCTACTGGCTTAACAATGTTGACAATTCCTCACACTAGTGTCTTGCAATGGCAGTTAAGAAGATACGACGACGGGTAGGAAAGGATTACCAAAAACAATTGTTTATTTTCATGGATCGAAGTCAATTAAAGGGGGCGTTGCTGCTTAGTGGTGCACGGGCTTCAGCACCTGTGAGGAAGTGCCTATGCTTCTAATTATTTCAAAATATAAGTCATTAGATGTTTTTCTGTTCATATTAAGTTTCTAAATTAGAGTATGAAGCGAAATTTATCATAATTCAGATATGAAGAAGAGGGCTCTCACATGTAATTTATCTTTAGTATTGTGTTATGTTACAATTTTTGTCCTTTATTTGTGGTCGTTTTAATCCTTGAGAGTGTAGTGTAGTGCTAAAAACTCGACAGTGTTTTATGATCAGGTCCCATAAAACACCCCAAGGATTGTCTCTATAACAGAAAACATGTTCCCACTACTGTGGAATGACTATGAGCACCAAGTCTTCGCTTTGTTTTTTCCTCTTTCTAAGCCCCTCAGCTTCTACTATAATTGACACAACCTACGGCCGATTTGGATTCACTCCTAATAATTTACATAATACTAAATGGGAATTATATTCTTACTTCTTTTTTCCCATGTTTAGTTTCAATAATTGCCCTCGAAGGTTAAAAGAATAAATTCCAAATTCTAGACCAAAGCAGCAGCCCCTTCCCTGTCCTGCTGACGGAACCTGCCACCGCCATTCCTCACTGGTGAGCCCCCTTTCCTCATAGAAGGGGAAAGGGGAAAGGAGACCTTGGTTGAAATGGCTCTCTCATGGTTCAGGTTTCTCTGGGAAATAGAATTCTTAAAGATTTCCGTTATAGTTTATATTGAGAATATAGTTAAATCGGAGTCTGTCAGCGTTAGTTCGAACTCGCATTCTCAAATCAATTGAAATTTGGTATTGGGCTTTAGGAACAATACAATACTGTACGCCCAAAAGAGCAAAAAATAGTAGGAATATTTAATTGAACTATTAGGAGACTAATACAACGTTTCATCCTATGAAAACCCGTCAGAAAAGCAAGGGACAAACAACAACATGAGATTGGCAAAACAAAAATGAAAAAAAGAAACAAAGTAAGAACCAGTACATGATTTACAAATCCCAAGGACTTCAATGCTGTCAGGCGTTGAAGAGCTTCCTGAAAGGCCCGTCTTTCCGATCTTTTGCAGCTTCGGTTAATGCAAGGAACCTCTTGAACCCTGTTGTGGCTGCACCTCGCCCCAGTGCAGCTGCTCTGGTTAGCACGTCATCTCTAGAAGCAATAAGTCCGGCTGAAGCAGGATTTGATATTAGAGCAACTGTAGGGGCAGTTGGGAGAGGGATGGGTGGGGCAGCCGGTGGTGGGATAGAAGGTTGTGTAATTCCGGGCCCATGCTTGTTGAAGTCCTCTAGTATGCTTTGCTGATCTGCCTTTTTAAGACCCTGCAAAACCCATGCTCAAATTAGTTCAGTTAAAGACATTGAATTAAGCCTGATAATCCAACTCGTAATTCTGTTGGAGAAGACAAAATTTGTGCTAAATGGTGTGAACACCACTTGTATAGAGTACAAAGCACCCGTTCTATGGAGGGGCTTAGTAAATGTACACTATGCACAGAACAGAAACTGCACTGCTCTAATGCAATGTCTGCTCAGGTCGGGTCACCAATTAGTCTTGAAAGTCAGTCTCCTGGAGTTTCTTAAGGTTTTGACTTCGGTTTGATTAATGGAAGGGGCAAGAATGTCACATGTGAAAAACAAATGAATGCAAAGAGGCAAGGAGGAGTTGATCATGACCTTGAGCTCCAGAATTCGCTGAAACTCCATGGGCGTTCCCTCTGGTAGCAACGCCCGGTAAGTATCCGCAACAGAATCAATTGGGGACAGTATGACCTATATACAAAGATAACATAAGCCTGCTTCAGAAAAGAAAACCAAAAGCTGTCAGAAAGAGTACCAACAGACAGATCATCTACCTTCAGAAGTGCTTCAGCTTTGCTCATCTCACGGCTTACAAATTTTGAATAGCTAGCAGCGCGTGAAGTCTGTTTGAAGAATTATACTGATCTGGTTAACAGGTTTGATTTGTGTACCATGAACAATAACTAATCAATTACGATGAGTAATCATATATCAACGCTGCACTGACCTGGTGACCAAGGGATGGTATCTCTAAAAGAATTGTCTTTACAGCTTGAGTATCCAATAGCATCTGCAATAAGAGCATCACATGAACCAATCACAAAAATTACTTCTGATATAAACTAGAAAAATGCTCGGAGATGCAAGAAATACACTTGATAATTACATAAGAAAGATAACCTGAACTAAGAAAAAAATTTCAAGGTGAAAGTCTGACTGATTGACTTCTACCATGAGGTAAAATTTAAACTAATTAGAATTCAATATTCAAGGGAAATCCTTGGTATATGTCCCACAAAAATATTTGAGAAGCCTGAAGGTGTAAACTCTGCGTCCCTTAAAAGCAAACAGTATATATACTTGTTTTCGTTTCTTGATAAAAACAAAATTAGGTTTGAAAGGAAACAAAGAAAACTTTAAGGAATACAGTCCCTACTTGTTGAGCTCCAGTTTCTGATATTTGCTTGCATTTGAAAATGTTAGCATAGAAACGTGGACCAAGGGATGATGCAAGCTGCAGAGATGAAGTTAAGAAATCAGAATACAGAGCTAAATTACAACTCCAAAAGAGAGATTCTCCAATACACGTCAGTCCCTTGTAATACCTTGTCCAAGAAAAATTGGAAGTAGATCGGTGAAAGAAGGCTTCCAAGTATAGGAATACTACTAGCAAGGATCATATTAATGCCATTAACATACCTGCAAAAAGGTGGACGTGGTCACTTGTAGAGAGTGTATAAAACTTTAATGTGAAGGATCAAAATTTTAGATTAATGCTAGCTTACTCTGATTGGTCACCAACGCTTTCAAGCGTACCCCATGGAACTCGTGTCATTGCAGCCATTTCAGCATCAAACTTAGTTTCCAGGCCATGCACCAGGGTTACCAATGCTTTTGTTATAACTGCTGAAAATTCATCCTGCACAATTGCAATACTCTTGTAGATAATGAACAGAAATAGATATGCCATAGGTGATCTTTTTATAAAATATCCTATACCTGCACTTCTGACATATCCACCCCATCTGCAAACTGAGAGTCAATTATCTTGGATACACTTTCAGCCAGTTCACCAGACTGCCAAGAATTAAACACAAATTACCAAGAATGTAGAATAGCATTCATTCTTGTACTATAATTGTTTATGCATATCATGTGAACACTGGATTCAATGCTACTACTAATCCTAAAATAATGACACCTCTCAATAGTTTCAGAAAGAAGTACCATGCCAACAAACTCGGATAGAGAACTAAAAACCAAACAAAATACTGACAAAATTTACTACACCTAATGTTTAAAGAACAGGCTGATCAGACTAACAGGGAAAGGTCCACATAACGCATTATGGCAACATATGAATGCAGTCAGGTGATGCACACAATAAGCAGTGCAATCATTTTTCACTTAAGTTCTTATGACGGTATGTGTCTCAGACACCTTATAATTATAGACTATATAATGTAAATCCTCAGCCCGTGCCTTTGTTAGCTTTTACTTCTCTAATGCAAAAAATAAGGAAACACATCATACAAACGGAAAAATCTAGTCCTTGTTATCCAGAAGTTCCAATCAGAACAGTATTTGCAGTAAGTTGAGACCAGGCATGATAGCTTCACATGCATACGTGAATCAAGTTAACTCTCAATATCACAGAGAAGTTCCATGTCTCCAGAAGAACTGCTTACCGTCTGATGGCAGTATTCTGCTGAGTTGACAATATAACAAATCACCCTTTCATCTCTGTCAGATGTCTGCTAAATTGCATTAAAAAAAATAGATCTGTTCAGAAAAACAAGAATTTTTTGAAACAATCCTGATAGTTATAATTGGTCCCTTGATACCTTTATCTGTCCGTCCATACCAGTTGCTGCTGCAACAATTCCTGTACCACCTTTAGGTAGTCTTGCAAAAAGCTTTGTAGCATATGCTTTGAGTATCCTTTGAAACACCTAAACTTGGAAAGAGGCATATATCATATTCTGGTTAAACAAAGATATAATCTTACTGTTACTGTACTTAGTCACGTCAAAAGTCCAGGGTCAGTCAAGCAAATAGGTCTCAAATGGTATGACCATGAGACTAGAGATAACTGTCTCATCCACGATAGCCACAAGGAAAAAACATGCATTTTTCTTCCAATATTTGAAGGGTCAGTAAAACAAATAGGTCTCAAATGGTATGACCATGAGACTGGACATAGCTATCTCATCCACAATAAACGCAAGGAAGAAACATGCATTTTTCTCATAATATTTGAAGGGGTTATTATTCATATGACTATTGAAAAACAAAGATTTTCTCGTTCCATCTCATCAACAGGTATTATGATTACAAAGCAATATCTTTATACCCTGTCAAGCAGTGGTACTGAAAGATTTTTCAGTTGCAGCATCATACGTGTTCTGTATTTGGTCACCAAATTGGGATCTTAAAGAATGAATTTTAAGAATGCACCTTGAATAAATTAAATAATGTCTGGTTCTTTGTTAAAGCGCTGCATCGCTTTAAGCTCCTCTTGATTATGAGAAACAACTGAAAGACCAAAAAGGGCAACCGAGTCAATGCTATTGAACATCGTTAAAGTGTGCATTCCAGAATTTCTGGAGAGACAGAAAACAATGAGTATCTAAATGCTTACCTGCATGCTACTTGATAAAACATTATTCTGACTTCCCTCCTCAATATCCCATGTTTCTTCCTATTGGAAAGATGATAAGGAAACCCTCATTCAAAAAAAGGAAAAAGTAAAAGAAAAAAGCACAAGCATACTATTGAACATATGTAATAAGAAGTAATAGACCTATTCTACCTGAACAAGTTTCTCCAAATTCTCCATTAGTGTTTTCTCTTCTAGTTCTGTGTATACATTCAAGTGAGGCTCAAAGCAAGATGAAATGATTCCACGGAAGTTGAACTGCCAAATTAAACAGTACAATGAATTCTCTATCTGTTAGAAGTTAGACTTAGGATACGAAACTACAGAATTAAATAGTATGGGGTTACTTATTATGAAAGAATATAGGTAGAAGAATTTTTTTTACCCCAGCTCCAGGCACTGATAAATCTTTATCCTTTTCCTGGCAAAAGAAAATTAGGACCTTAGTAACTTGATGGTATAAGAATCTTCACAGCGCAAAAATTGCAACCATTTTAAGTAATATGTAGCATGCATACCTCTGTGCTATCCTGATGTGCAC